CCAAATAGCTAGGACTACAGGCATACACCACCACACCTGGCTAATTTTTAAATTTTTTGTAGAAAAGGGGGTCTCACTATGTTGCCAAGCTAGTATCAAACTCCTGGGCTCAAGCAATCCTCTTGCCTCAGCCTCCAAATGTGCTGGGATAACAGGCGTGAGCCACCGTGCCCAGCCTTACCCCCTCACTCTTAATCCACTCTTACCTTTACCTGCCCAGGCCTCGTTTTCCTAATCAAAGTATGCTCTTTGAATCTTCTCTTCACAAATTTTAGGGTGTATTTTGATCAGATTTTTATCCGTTCAAAACATAATGGCATTTTTTTGTTTGTTTGTTTTAGGGGACTTCAAGGTGAAGTCATCTCTGCTTTGATTGGGTGATAGATCTTGGGGGTGCTGGGGGATGCCTTCCACCTCTCCAATTTGGACCCCTGAACTTGGCATTAACTCACTAGCCTATCACCAGATTTAGCATTTCTTATACACTATAGGAATGCCATAAATTTCTTCTAGAATTTTCAAGATTTTTTCCTGTTATTAATTCTCCCTCTTAATTTCTTTTTTCATTAACTCCTTGCCTTTTAAATGCAATACCTGTATTCATTTAATTCTCTATGAATTTGATTGATTCAATAAATATTTATTTATTTCTTAATAAATGATCACATGTGCTTCAATTCTTTAACCTTAAAACATTTATTTATTTTTGGGAAAATTATGGGCAGGATTTTTTTTTTGGAAAGTACAGACAAAATACATTCTAAGATAGTTTAAGGAAGTAAAAACTGAACTTGGGTTTATCTCTGTAAACAGTGAATAACCGTTACCAAGTGTTTATTTGGATGATATTTGTATTCTGTTATTCTTCTTCAGATGAAGACATTGGTCAAAGTTCGGTCACTGCTTGAATTCCACAAGCAGTGCATTTTGTCTGTATGAACAGGAGTTACAGAAGAGAATGACTTGATATTTCTTAAGTCTAGCTCTCTAGACAATCCAGCCAATAGGACCCAAAATATATGATTAATGTCATAGTCTTGATATTATTATTAGACATAAAATAATATTTCCTTTCACTCATTTATCCACTCAACAAATGCCTACATAGCTATATCTTTTGCAATTCAGGATCTCAGGGATAAAAATTTGTGATAAAATAAGCAACAGTTAGAATGAATCTTTTGGGGGGATATATTTTAATTCCAAAATTCTTCTCTTCTCATTCACTTTTCACACAGCAGCCACAGTTGACTTGTAATTTTCTTTTGAATTAAAACATCTTGCTTTCCAAATGTGCATTATAACAAAATCTCCATGTATAGGGAAAGACTTCTAGTGAATACTTTCCCTAATTTCCCCCACCCTTCCACAAGTCTCACTTCCCCTAAAATAACCACTTCTAATTTTTAATATTTGTTTTAAGTTCTTTGAATGGTTACCCCTATATACCTAAATAATACATATACCACTTTTTAAAATTTACCAACTGGAGAGTTTCAATTGATTTTCTAGTATGGTAGATGATAATTTAGCTCTCTTAAACCAATTCTCACTTTCTGTCCTCCCAACCTTCAGTGAACATCTGTTTTGTTTTGTTTTGTCTTGTTTCTTTTTGGCCACCCAGCATTTGAACCTGTTGCTATTTTGGGAAATTTTCCCATCTTATAAGGTGAGAGGTAGAGGTAGCTTCTGGCTAGAGAAACTGAAAATGCCAGATACTCAGTTTCTTAAACTTCCTTTCACCTGGGTCCATGCATATGAGCTAGGCTCTACAAATCAGACATACCACCTCAGACTTGGAATCAACACATATTAACACATTTGTGGTAAGACTGAATTTCTGGGTAGCAGCAGCAGCAGTGCTAATTGAAGCACCCAGTCTTCCATGCCACTTGTGTTTATAATTCAATCTCTCCTGGCTTGTGCTCAGCTACGAGTAGAATTCTGCTATTAGGCCAATTCTGCTGTGTGATTATTCAAATGGCTCCTGGGCTGCAAAGTCCAAGATTCTGCACTCCTCTAAGTCCTCCACTTTTTCTTCTTAAGTGAGCCAGAGTTGGTCTCTGTTGCTTACAATTAAGAATTCTGACTGACATACTACATAATCCTGGTTTAGTAACACTACTGCCCTCAGATCCTCCACTAGTCATTTTGCAACTTAAAGCAACATACTAGAGTGCTTCTATCAAATACAAAGAGTACCTCAACTTCCCATTTTGCAAAATGAAGACGCTAGTACTCCAACACTTGCATCTACATTTCCTCCCTTCTTCTAAGATGAAAACACTAATATTCGATTCTAGAATTATAATCATCTTCTGTGCTTCATTTATAATTTGATTCTAGAAATTAAAAACCAATTAATGATCTTTACAATGTGCCCACATACAAATTATTAAACTCTGAGAGCATCGTGTGTTATATTTACATTTTTTGTTACATGTCCAATATACATCATAATCCAATGTCATAATTCTTTTGCCACTCAAAGAAAAAATGATCCTGCAGTTAAGTTGGAAGCCATCTGTTTTTACAGTCTGTCTTTTTCCTCTAGCAGAACTTCAAAATTTTCCGAGGCTTATCTAGAGGGCTCCATCTATTCCAATATGAATTTTCTAGAGCTTCTTCAAATCAATGCATTTGGGACAAAGATGTCACTGTTTTCCTGCTTTTAATCCAGTAGCTCCTGAAAACCGTGTCCTGCTTTTCTTGATTTGGTTCCTTGTTTTATTGGAAAACATGTCTTAGTAACTTTCTAAGAAAAGGTCTATGGAGGACAAATCTTTGGAGTCTTTGCCTTGCCTTTGTGAAGAAGATTTTCATTATGGTCTTCCACTTGAAGGCTAGTTTGGCTAAACATAAAATTATGAGCTGAAAATAAGTTTCATATAGAAGTCTGAAGGTTTTTCTCCACTTTCACTGATGAGACATATGGCACTAAATGAAATTCTGTTGATTTCTCTTTAGTTCCTGAAGGAATCTATGATAGAGTTTGGTGAAGAAGCTGAGAGGAGAGCATAATAAGAAAGATTCAGAGCAGGAGGTGTCATCTGGAAAATCTGATTGGAGATGTTGTCCTGGCACAGACATTAGCAGATTATCTTTGGCAGCTAGGGTAGGAGGCGGAGAAGTTCCTATAAAGAAAAAAGATTGGGTAGGAGCTGCAGATAAACTCACCGACTTGGCAATTTTGCTTAGTCACTCTGGACTTCCCCACTACAATAAAGACGACTGTTCATCTAGAAATTATTCTCTTAGAGAAATGGCTTATTTTTTTTTAAGTCAACACAATAAATAGCCTTTTTATTCTCCAAGGCACACAAACATATGACATATGATAGTGCTGAGATTTTTGCCTCTTCTGCAGAATGGAGGTAGCATATCAGCATATAGTATGAATTTCTTGCAACTTGAATAGCACAGTGAAGAGAAAACTGAATGATCAATGCAGTACATTACAACTGGAATATTTTCTGATCCTGAAAATATAGACTTACATACTAATTATAACTCATACTACTGAGTATTCAAATTTTATTTTGCTTTATGAACCATGTGGAATGAAAAGCAATCATGCTGTAATGTAGTACCCTGTGACATAATAATGCCTACTACCATTACAATTTCAACAAACTTGGACTGGGATTCAAATGAGTAGTGTGACCCTGAGGGAAATGCTTTAATAATGGCATCCAGTGTTCTCAATTAACACGGAAAGATTTATGTCTTTTTCCCCCCGTTTGGTGGTCTCTGTTGAAAAGGAAAAAACATGAACTGCCATTTGATTTTCCACTCAATTGCATCTACCAACTGGCAGACAGACCAACTGAGAAAGTCCCTCCGTTCAGTAGCTGGATTCACCGTGGGTGTGCCCCAGGCGTGTGACCAAGGCTGGTTCTCCTGATCAGAATAGTCCACAGACAGCAACTCTCTGAGGGAAGGCTCCACAACTGAACTAGTAAGATGTGCCTCTGCTTAAAATAATTATTAGGAATTTTTCCCTTCTCTTCTACCTGTTTTAAGCTTCTAATTAGTCACCTCTTTATCCTCTGAGAATATCTCGAGTCCATGTCTGATAAGCCACTTCTCAGCAGGGAGAGAACTGCATCTTAAAATGGATTTGATGCTTCTTAGTAAACTGACAAATCAGCTGAAGAGTGAGTCAAATGAAAATTTTAGGACTATCACCCTGAAAAAAAGGTGATGATTGCTATAGGTTGGGAGACTTATAATCTGTCAGAATCCTCTGTTGCAAGGAACAGCTTAGCCACACAGCAGTGCTCCATGGCGGCTGCTGTCAAGAATCTAAACACAGCTTGGAATTCTCTGAGGATGTTATTCATAAAGGCACAGTTAATCAAACTCAGACCTCTCTTCAGAATCTCACTGTACAAGCCAAACTTATTGCCAACAGAAGGAAGGTGCCAGACCAGAGAAGGTAAGCTAAAATCTGTGTGCCCTGGCTTCAGAACTATGAGGTCTCAACTCAGCCCATTTTCAAAAGCAAAAAAAAAAAAAAAAAAAAAAAAAAAGATTTTATGTATGTTGTTGCTTTGTTGGTTGTTTTTACATTTGTCAAACAGTTGGCTTTCTATTCATACAATCAGAGCTTTGTAACTATCCAAGGATTTTCAACCTACAGAAATAGATATTTTCATTGATTTTAATTTAATTTACCAAAAAGGAAAAAAAAAAAAAAGCTCTCCTTTCCTTCCCTCACCCTTTAGAGGAATTTAGAAAGGACGGGTATGGGCCAAAATCACTCTGGCTAGTGTCCATGGTTACCAAGCTGAAAGAGAAGGCAGTTTTCTGGATAAATGACCTTGCCTTAAACGCCAGATGCCTGCTAAAAGTATTGCAGGCTCTCAGAATCTTTCTGCGCCTCCTCTGCCATCGTAAACAGGAATGGTGGATCTTTCAGCAGAGATACTGGCGTATCCCCATGGATTACACCCTTGGCTCCTGAGAAGAATGGTTTTCTTTATTCTTTGCACAGGGAGATCTCTACTTACGAAAGGTGAAGTCTCTTGATTTCGGTTGTTTTGCAACTAGCTTGGAGTGGTGAGAAACTACAGTATTGTCATGTTCTCACCATCAGAGGTAAGAATAAACATAGGGCAATCTAGCTGTTCTCAATTTGCACAAATCCTGTGTAGGCTCATGTGCTGATTCTTCAATGAACATTTTCCCCCCACTCTCAACTCAGGGACAAATTTTTCCAGGGTCCTTGAAGATAAATGTGAGGGAAAAGCATAAATAGGCCTATTTGGGATTCAACTTCCATAAGGGAAGAAGACAAGGAGCATCGGTGGCAATCGTGAGTTTGGTCTTTAGCAATTTCCGCCCAGCTTTGCACATGTCTCTGGTTCTTCACCTACAGATGAACTCTATGAAATTTCCTACCTCGTAGAGTTGTTGAACTTTTGTAATTAATAGACTACATTTAGGACAGTTTTAGGTTTACAGAAAAATGGAGCAGAAAGTAGAGAGAACAGAGAAAGTAGAGAAGTTCCTATATACTTCCTCAGTTTTCCTTGTTATTACTATCTTGCATTGATATTGTGGGTGGTTGAATTGTAAATTACATTCCACACAGAAAGCATGGCATTTTACATGCTAGAATATAGTTACAAACTTAAACTATCATGTCTGTAATTCAGGACCCTCTCATTTGTTAATAAAACATGTTTTCATTTATTTAATGACATTTCATGAGTCACCATTAGCAAAAAACTCCCCTAATTCCCTACCAGACAACCACACTATTTGCAAAATACTATCTGTGAAGATTTGTTTCTTCAGGTTTAAGATCTGTATTTCAGTAATATTTCACTGAAATACAAAACACCCATAAAAGAGAGAAAAGAATAACTATTGTTATCATCAATGACTTTACTGTTAATTAACAAAAGACATAATCCCCATCCAGGCACTGTAGAATGATACTGTCCATCAGTGGTTTTAAGAAGCATAACAAAGAATGTCCAGAGGTTCTTAAGTAGGACATGGCTCAAGAAAAGAAACAGGAGTAGTCTTATATGGTTAGATGATTACAGAAGAGAAAGTTATGGCACAGGAAATAAAAAGAAAGGAAAAACAGTTGTGAAAGAAGAGAGTATTGACTCAGAGCTTTTCTTCAAGGTAAACAGAGTCAACCTCTGAGCAAGAAGAGGGAGGGGGGGATGAAGGGTAGGCCCCATAGAAGCCTAGATAGTATGATGTTGCTCACTTTTCTCTCATTGAATATCAATAGGGCCAGATGGAAGAAGATCAAAATAGCGTCAACAGCATGATTATACAAAAGTGAGAGTTGAGAATAGTGAACATATTGGCATTCAAGAGTGACACAAAAGTAAGCACAAGAAAACAGACAAAACTCATTCTGGAGCTGGGTTACTGAGGAATGCGTGGATTTTCTAGCTGGCTGCACTTGGGAGAAAAGTTTAAGGCAAATATGCATATTGCCTAGACGTCAAAAGTATGTAGGAGGCTTTCAAGGAGTTCTCAGCCATGGCTGACCATTAAAACCCCTTTGAAGGTTTTATAAATATAATTACTTGGGCCTCAGTCCTAGGATATTCTGATGGTGGTGAGGGGCAGGTAAGTATACTTGTTTAAGCCACTGTCCTGTACCTTAATTAATCATCCTCACTATCAAAAGTGTTGTTCAGGTACCAGAGCTCAGGTGACCCAGATACTTCCAGGCTTTGCTGGCCAGAGCATGAACAAGACCTAGCAATTCCCTTTATAGGAATCTACCACAAGGAAATAATCAGAAATGAAGGCAAATTTTGCATTCAAATATGTTCATTGCAACTTTATGTGTGTTAGCATAAAAGTAAGATAAACTCAAGTTTAATAATAGGGAAATGGTATATCCATATTATGAAATATTATATAGAATTCCAAAATTGTTTTCTAATAGCTATGTAATACAGAAAAACATGATGTAATGTTAAGCAAATAGAAAAAAACCATGAAGACAAATATGTCTAAATTCCCAACCACCACCATATATACACACACTAGACATAGTACTCCAAGAAATAGCAAAAAGGTCAACCATGGTAGTCTGTATTAGTTAGGGTTCTCCAGAGAAACAGAACTAACCAATGTGTATATATATGTAGATTGATAAAGATATACATATACATATATATACACAAAGAGATTTATTAAAAGGAATCAGCTCATGGCAAATGAGACAATATGGAGGCTGGCAGTGCAAAATCTGAACAGCTGACGTACCAGTTCAAGTCTGAAGGCTGAAAGCTGTTATAGATAGAACCAATTAAGAGCTCACGTTCCAGTTTGAGTTCAAAGACTGGTAGGCCGCCGCAGAACCAAGAAGAGACAATGTCCCAATTCAATTCTGAAGACTGGCAAGTAGGATAATTCTCTTCTACATGTGTGTATGTGTGTGTGTGTGTATGTGTATGTGTGTGCCTTTTGTTGTATTCAGGCCTGATTGGATGAGACCCACCCATATTATGGTTTACTACCTTACTCAGTCAACTGATTTAAATGTGAATCTCATTCAAAACACCCACACGGAAACACCCAGAATGATACTTGATCAAATATCTGGGTACTCTGTGGCCCAGTCAAGTTGACATATAAAATGAACCACCACATGTGCTATCACTTAGTCTGTAAATTAGTGATAGCAGGGAACATATCTTTCAGCATGGATTATACTGTTATTGATTTATGACTTCTTAGTCAAGCAGAATTCACTCTCAGTATTCAAGAAAATGAAATAATATCTTTGTTGATGTATTAACCCAAGAAGTGGCATGCGTCAATTGAAATTTGGTTACTTCTCTAAGCCTGTGAGGAGCAGCTTAATTAGTAAAATCTCATTGGCCATTCAGTATGCCTGCAAATGTAAGCAAAAATAATAGGCAAGTGATTTACATACTTTTTGAAATTCCAAAGTGTCTATATGGAAGAATTCAGTTGTAAAGTTTTTCTTTAATTTGAATGAATATATTATTACATCTAAAATTATGTGCACACTTCCCCAAAGATTTATATACTATCAAAACCTGATATTATACTTATATTTGAATATATTACATATATTTATGTTGAATATAAGTTTATATGTATGCCTCACCAAAGAACTACGTGCTATTATAGCCTGATACTATGTCCTAGCACTTGCCTCAGCTCAGAGTTACAGAAAAATTTTCATCCCTCTGGAGGTAAAAATATTCTTCCTGAAAATGTTCTCTTCATAAAGGATAAAGGTATGTGTTGGTAGAAATTTGGTGGTTAGGAAAGGCAGAACAACTAGGAAGAAGGAGTAGAAAAGGAGAAAGGAGACAAATATTAACCTTCTCAATTAGCTTTTATCCAAAGGACAATTTTTAAATATAAAAGTAATTTCTCTTTTTAAAAAAGCTAAGCAACATACAGTGTGAAAAAGAATACTAGAGTAAAAAGAATAACAAAAAAGCAGCAATTGGCATTTCGAGACAATTTTCCTTCCCAGTGGTATTCACCCCATAGTCAATGTTGGGAACCCGAGACAGTGCCCTTACTGAAGGTGACTAGCCCCAAGTTCAGGGAGTAGGCACTCCAGACTTCCTCATGTTAATCCTCAGCTCAGACTATTCAGCCAAGATACCACCCACAGTGGGACAAGATCTGTTCCTTGGGACATCTGCCTCAAGCATCCTTTAACAGTCCCAACCATAATCTATTCCTGAGTAATTATGTAATTACGCCATTAAATATAACAAAAGGCGGGGTGATGGGGGGCGGGGGGGGGAACTTTCTCATTAGTGCAGGAGTTGAGCAGTTTCCAAACAGGAGCTATGAAATTTAGAGAAGAGGAAACCGACTCTCTAATACTTAAGAATATTCTTAAGAATAAGCTCCTGGTCCAGTCCTAATCCTGTGAAGGAGTTGGAGATGAGCTTGCATTTTAAGATCCCAGTTTCATCTTAGTTCAGTGATGCTGAACTAAGAACCTACTCTAAACTCAAGCCTTAGAAGGCTCATCCCAAGCCAGACCTGACTCCTGACCTGGCCAGGTAGTGCTTGGATACCCACCCATTCCAGTTAGAGTTCCTCAGGCCAGGTTCTACCATAATATGTCATCTTGAAGTGGTCTTGTTTACTTCCACTAAGCGCAAGCTAGGAGCTAGAAAATAGAAGGGAGGTCCTACCCGTGTAGCCACTCCAGAACATACGACAAGGAGCCCTCAAGCAGGTTTGTGGGTGAGAAAGCTTCTGATCTAGGCTTAGATAATCCAGTTACTTAGTTAGGAAAGTAACTAAGGCTTGATTGTAACTCACTTTCAGACTCACAGATCATCTCATTAATCCAATACAGTTGAGTGTCCCTTATCAAAATTATTGGGACCAAATGTTCACAACTACACCATGTGGTTAAATATTATATCTATACAGTTAGATGAGGAAACTGAACAACAGTGAAGTGCTTAATTAGCTGATCAACATGCAGCTAACCGTCGAAGCTCAAAGCCACAATGTGAAAAGTCGGTCTAACTTCTTAACCACTTTCTTACCGAGTTACTGTGTCTAATGTATAAATGGCACAATAATTGGAGATATATCATAATAGGTAATAAAATATTAAATATTATAATCAATACGGGCATGGAAATAAAGAAATCATCACCATTAATTGTGTAGTATAATATAGTTTTATATTTGGCCCCTACAAATCTCATGTTGAAATTCGATCCTCGATGTTGGAAGTGGGGCTAGTGGGAAGTATCTGAGTCACGGGGGCAGATCCCTCATGAATGGCTTGTTGCCATCCTCACAGTATGAACAAGTTCTTGCTCTATTAGTTTCCACAATGACTGATTGTTAAAGAGCCTGGCACCTCCCCCCCTCTCTTTTCCTCTTTCTTGCCATGCGATGCTGCTTTTCCCTGCTTTCTACCATGAGTGGAAGATTCCTGAGGCCTTCACCAGAAACAGATGCTGACATCATGCTTCTTGTACAGCCTGCAGAACCGAGAGCCAGATAAACCTTTTTTCTTTATAAATTACCCAGCCTCATGTATTCCTTTATGGCAACACAAAAGGACTAAAACATCATATAAGCATCAAGAATAAAATGAGGTTGAAAAGTAAGCTGGGTCTCCAAGGAAGGCTTATCTCTGTTTCCCTTTTTCTGAGTGTAGTGGTTAAGCCACAGAAGTTGAAATCTCTACTCTCTTGTCCTCCATCCTATCCTTGTCCTGCCTTTGGATGCTACATCCATGACTGTGTTGACACAGCTCTTAAGAGTGCTCGCTTAATCAATGGATCCAGTGACTTTGCCATCCTGACAAGGTCAGTCATTGCCATGGATGAGGCCAGGCTTTCTGAAGTTGCCCCTGTAGCTCTCTTCTCTAGCAGCCAAATGTCATATTCTATCATCAGTCTGGCTACATAACCTTGCATAAACTACTTGAAAACCTTCTCCTTCAGCTTCTACTTCTATAAAATGGAAATAATATTAGTATCTACTTAAGAGGGTTTTGTGAGTATAATGTGGGCCAATACCTGTAAAGTGCTTTAAGTCGTCCTGGCACACGAAGTTGAGAAGCAAGCTGAGGTCTCCAACGAAGGCTTTTTTAACATTAATAAAATATTTAATAAAGTGTAGCTCATTAAATGCACATAACTCATTAATTGCTATTTTTATTAATATTTTATTATGATGATTTTCTAAGTGATGTTTCACTCTGCTGTTTGCCTCACATCTCTTATTCCCACATTTCAGAGATCTTGGCTGAGGTTCAACCATTATTCTTATATCTTTCTCCCTGTATCCTCTCTTTCCCAGAAATCGTATCTGCCCCTGAAGTTTCAGTGATTGTTTACATGGGTTCAGTATCCCTTATTTAAAATTCATGAGACCAGAAATGTTTCAGATTTCAAATAACTTTGGATTTTGGAATATTTGCATTATACTTACTGATTCAGCATTCCTTATCCAAAGATCTGAAATCTAAAATCTTCCAATAAACATTTCCTTGGTGAGTCATGTCAATGATCAACAAAAAGAAAGAAAGAAAGGAAGGAAGGAAGGAAGGAAGGAAGGAAGGAAGGAAGGAAGGAAGAAAGAAAGAAAGAAAGAGGAAAGAAAGAAGAAAGAGAAAGAAAGGAAGAAGGAAAAAAAAGAAAAGAAAGAAATGAGAAAGAAAGAAAGAAAAAAGAAAGAAAGAAAGAGAGAAAGGAAGGAGAGAGGGAAGGAGGGAAAGGAAAGAGAAGGAAAGAAAAAAGAAAGAAAAGGAAGAAAGAATGAAAGAAAAAAAGAAAGAAAGAAAGAGAAAAGAAAATGACAAAGTGACAAAGGTGATGGGATGCTACTCCCATGATTACATTATGTTATGTAACACTCCAGTTTAGCCAACTGGAGCAAGAGAGACTCCTTGCTGCCTTGATGAATTGCTTAGTTACATTGGGGAAACCCACAGCAAATAACTCCAGACAGGAGTGCAAGAAAATGTGA